AGCTTGCCGAACTTCTTTCTGGGCTCAGCTCCCCGTCTTTGACTTCATAGATTCTGATTCCAACCAGTTTTTCTTCCTTTGTTCAGGAGCCTCTGACCAGGGTTGCTACCAGTCGGCCATCTTCCCAGAATCCCCCGATCATGTTGATATTTCACTGAGGATCATTAAGAAGCGAATTACTAGAGATCTGTATGATTACTTGTTACTTGATGTATGTGGATCTTTTCCATTATTGATGCACATTCTGCTGTTCAGCGTATTTAGAATGTCTTCTAACCTACATCTTAGAGATATTATGAGGATAAATAAAATACTATTTGATAATTGTACCTTGACCACTTCAAGAAGAAAGATGGAATGACATGCTCCAAATTATGACTGATATTTCCACATTGCACTATAAGATTTGGTGTTGTGGCTAGTTGTTATGTGTTGTGCATTTTGTGTTTATCTTATATATAATATAAAAATACATTTAAAGCTGTGCATATTTTAAGTCCTATCAACGTGATTTCTTTATAGATCCCATGCTTATAGACTAAGCATGATAGAAAATAAAAGAAGAGCATTACTATTGCCCTTGAGGACATTATACTTAAGTAGAAATAAAAAGGTTAATAAATACACTATATTTTTGAATATGTCAGTCTGACCTTGAACTTTTATGGTCCAGTCACTAAATTTTTCGATTGCTCAAAGGTGGTCACTTAATTTTTTTAGGATTACTGTGTTCAATCATACTTAGACTTCAAGGACACACGTGAAACAACTTATTAGACACAAGTTCATATCTAAAATGGTTTTATAGCAAGGTTTTAGTTTATCTTTTTATCACCTTATGAGGAATTAAAATTTTTATTCATATTTTATAAGAAGGCAATTAGACACTTTCCCAATTAGGCTGTAAGTTACTTGAAGGAAGATGAGAAAAATAAGAAATGTATCTTACTCTGTTGACGTGAGATAAATCTTGTTGGGTGTCTATTTGTTCCATGTCTAGCCTGGTACCCAGAAAAATATTTACTCAATAACTATGAATATCATGAATAATATGATTGCACGTATTTCAATGAATGAATGAATACTCTCTTACTTTTTTTTTTTCTTTTTTAGACTCCCAGGAAGGAAATTACAAGTCAGAAGTCAACAGTAAGCCCAGGAAAGAAAGGACAGCTTTTACTAAAGAGCAAATCAGAGAACTTGAAGCAGAATTTGCCCATCATAATTATCTGACCAGACTGAGGCGGTATGAGATAGCGGTGAACCTGGATCTCACTGAAAGACAGGTAATGCTGCCCATTCTCATTACACAGTCTTCTAAATTACTTTAAGACAACAATCTTCTCTTCTCATTTTTGAAATACCTGGATCTGAGGTTCTTGAATATCACTTGGAAAACAAGTGTACTATTACGTGATGAAGTTTTTGCCAGCAAAATGATAAAATTAAGAATAATACAAGGATATTTTAAAAGAACCCTACATTTGTTGAGTTTAAGAAAGAACGCTTCCTTTTGAGAACGTGCTCTTCCTCTATTTTTATGTTATAAAGCATTATTTCTTTCACATTATGATGGCATATAAAGAGGAATTAAGTGTATTTATATTTTAAAATCTTATTTGGCAAAGTAGAAGGCTGGCCCCCCAGAATAGTTTCCTATACTGTTCAGAACAGTGTGTGGTATGTTGCAACAATACATTAACCCTCAAACTTCAACGGAATGCAACCCTAACGTGCATTATTTGTTCACTCTCCATATTAATGTTACGAGTTCCAATAATCACAGATCCAAACTGACCACATGGTATCTCGACTTGAGGTGTCCTAAGTAACCACAGGCAAGAACTGGAAGTTCATGCACTGACCTTTAAATGTTTTCACCTGAAAATGACCCATGTCACTTCCAGTTAAACTCTAATGTCTAGAATAGGCAAATGGTGCAACTTAGGTTCAAGAAGGCTGGAAAATAATGAAAAAGCAAAGATAGATATATCGTAAGTAAGTATCCCCTTCGCCTTAATTTTGAAATTCTTTTGGTCTCAGTAATTCCAAATTCTGATACCCATTCACAGAATACTTTGGCATTATTAGTGTTCTATTTATCCCAATTAATATGTCATGACTAATTTTTTTAATTAATCACCTTTTATGTCTCTTTCTTGGGTTTTATTTGGAGGACAAATGATTTGCTCAGTCGTGTTCCCACTGTACTCCTTGTATAGATTCTGATTTTCCCTGTGAGAATGTAGCCAACTGCTGATTAACAGTTGCTAATCTTTATAAAAACATTCCTGAAAGGCAAGTGCAAACATCTTTATGGACAGTGCAGTTATGATTGGCACTCTTAGGGCTGGCATTTTATTTCCTCTTTCACTGTATGTACCTCCTCCAGGGATCCCATTGGAACCAAAGAAATATCAACAGGGTGTGGACAAATGAATACACGTCTTAGGAAAGCAAGTTATTTTATACAATTTCTTAAATCATCTGCTTTTCTTCTGATAATTTTTACACTTCAGCCTTCAGAGGTTATTTCTGGGTAGCAGAAACATACAGAGGAACACTTTTATGTGGTTTTATTTATTGGCAGTTTATATTTTATTAAATATTATGACTAGTACCAAGTTATGGAGCACAACATTTTCCTTCTCTTGAACTTCACATACGAAATTCCTCTGTAAGGTACATTTGGCACACTGGAAAGTAGGATCCAACATCTACATCACCAGATGCCTGTTTTATTTTTACATATTTTTTTTAACTTGGAACAAGAGAAAAACAGTATGTGTCTTTTGGGGAGATTATACATTAATGTTCTTATATGGAGACAGTGAAAACCAGGAAATACAACCATGTTTTGTATAATGCATGAAGGAATCAGGAACCAGGGTTTCTTTCCAATCTGTAGAAATGACAACATGCGGTACCACGCTCTTCGCCAAGAGCAAAGTCAAGATTCTGTGTTTGCCAAAGTGTGATCTATAATTATCTCCTATAATTTTATTTAAGAATAATTCCTTTTCTGAGGCAGTTTTGTAAATATGGTTTGAAAATTTTGAAGTTATTTTCCATATTTCTTCTTTCTTTTCTTTTATTAAATGATAGCTGTGTACATTAATGCACTCATGGGGTACCATATGGTATTTTCATATATAATTTGAAATATTTTCATCAAACTGGTTAACATAGCCTTTATGTCATTTTCTTAGTCATATTTCTTCTTTCTAACTGACTTGATGTGCTTGAGCAAGAATTACATGTAAAAATTATATATACACACACACACAATATACATACTTAGACATACACACTATTTTTTTTTTTTTTTTTTGAGAGAGCCTCAAGCTGTCCCCCTGGGCAGAGTGCCGTGGCATTACAGCTCACAGCAACCTCCAACTCCTGGGCTCAAGCAAGTCTCCTGCCTCCGCCTCCCAAGTGCTGGGACCACAGGCGCCCGCCACAACGCCCGGCTATTTTTTGGTTGCAGCCATCGTTGTTTGGCGGGTCCGGGCTGGGGATTCGAACCCACCACCTTAGGTGTACGTGGCTGGCGCCTTAGCCGGTTGAGCTATAGGCGCCGAGCCCATACACACTATTTTAATCACTTCAAAGATTCTTGCTAAATATTGTGTCTGTCTGCCTTAGCTATATAACAAACAAGTCCGAATCTTAGTGGCTTCAAACAATAATTAGTGTTTTATTTGCTTACAATATTGTAGGTGAGAGATATGTACTAAGCTTAGTTGGATAGTTCTACTGTTGACCTTACATAGGTCTCTCATGGAGCTGCAGGTAGTTAGTGGGTTGACTAAGAGCTGGTGGGACAGCTAGTTGCTGCTACACATGATGTCATGTTCTTATGGGCTAGCCTGGTATTCATCTTCTTTTGGGTGAGCCTGGTATTTTTCAAGTGGTGATGGAAGGATTCCCAGGAGCTTTGAAAGGGAAAACTCCAGCGTGCAAGGGCTTTTCAAGTTTCTTACATCATATTTTTAATGTCTCATTATCCAAATAATGTTGTATGACCAAGGTTAGTGTCCACATCACAGGTGACAATATCCTCAGATGTCTTCCTGAAATAATCTAAGCATAGACTCAAAGGGGAGTAAAATAACAACCAAAAAAAACCTTGAGGGATCATTAGAGTATCAAACAATTGAAAATATTATATTGTATATTTTTTGCACAAGATTTTTTTTATTCCATAAATCTCTATGTACGATGTTGCAAGCAAGCATGTGTGGAATTGATATGCTTAATCAAGTCTAAGTCTTAGAAGGTTAGTCAGAAAGAATCAAATTGGTATAAAGGAAATTTGAAGATTTTCCAGTTGAAATTGTGTATTTTTCAGTAAATAACAATACCATCAAGATATAAAGTGGAAATTAATACTTTTCTTCTACTCAGATTTATATGTCATATGAAATATGAAAGAATTTTTAGCATAAATTTTAGCATAAGCATGAATATCACCCAGTAGAGAAAATTATGCAAGGCCTGCTGGATTAATTCTTTTGTGACACAAATATTTGTTGAGCTGGGTGCAAGAAATAAGATCTCATTAAAATAAAGCTAGGGAAGTTAACTCACATGGTGAGGAGGTCGAAATTGAACAAGTATTGACAACTGTAGATGTTGAATGATGTAAGAGAGAAATGACAGGGTTGTACAGGAGCCTACTCCACATGTAAAATATTCTAACATAGAATTATGCACTCTTTTTATTTCCATTATCAACACTTAAACCTTTTCTAAACTTTAAAATAATATGAAATTTTAGGAAAATAACTTAAACATACACACCAAAGAATATTATATGTATATATATACACACACACACACTTATATAACTTCATATATACTATATATATGTAAAACGTCATATTATTCAATGTTTTCCTTAGCTTTAATAGCATTTACTAAATCTCAAATATGTTTTCTCAACTTTGCCAAAGCCTTTGCGAAACAGAGATAGAATACATATGTCATGTGAAGAACAAAAAACAAGTATTAAATCATTAGCTCTATGGTAGAATTGCTTTAGAGAAGTAATTTTCTCCTAAATTAAAACTTACTTTATTTTAAACTATCCTTAGACTTAAATTCATCTGGAAATTTTACATGTTTTCCTGTAAAACATGTCTACTTACAACTAATGTTATTTTTAGCTAGCCCAGTCTTATTCATATCAATGATCGTAATATCTAACACACATTTTATGATGGGACACATAAATCCTTATAAATATTTGAAAAATGATAAGTTTTTCTGGCAGGAAAACCTAAGGTGTGTTAAATCCTTAAATGTCTCGTAGGACTTGAATTTTAAACTTCCTACCTAAAGAGTGTATAATTATCTTTGAACGTCATCTAGCCAAAGAAGACAAAAAATTAATAAAATAAAAAGAGTCTCGTTCATTCTGTGAAGTAAGCACATAAGTACTAAAGAAATTAGTTCAATGTTAGCACATAAGTACTAAAGAAATTTATTTTAGATTAAATAAAAATGGAGACCCAAGAATAGAGCTGAACTTGAAGTATTTCGATGAGCCAATGCTATTTTGTAGAACAGTTACGCATATCTCCAACCTTCGCATTTCTTACTTCCAGCTTTCAGTTTGCAAGGTATTCTCAAAATTAGCAGCTCATAATCTTCAAACAGCCAAGTCACCTAGAATATTGTGAAGAGCCAGTCAGTCTAAAGCCTTTCTTCTTCCAAAGGTACTTTTAAGTTAGACAAACTTACTCTGGCTTTCTCTTCCATTCAGATAAACTTGGAGAAAGGTCCCAGCAGCTTTTTAATATCCCCCAGTTGGAAGACGACAGAAAGCAGCTGCCTGAGAGTATAAAAGGATCGGTGAAATTGACATTTTTATAGAGTCAAGGCTGCCAAATATAGAAAAAGTGGGAGATCCCTTCACTTCACAAAGTCTTTTTCACAGAGCTAATCAAACTTGCAAAGCTGCAGATTTGTAAACTAACTAAGATCACTGGAATAAACAGAGTGAAGCATGACACCTCTGCCAAGAGAAACGGAAAATCCCACCTAGTTGGATCAGATGCCATGAGTGGAAATGCAGGGATGGTGTTGTGTTTGTTACTCATAAATCATTACCTGGCCTGATGCCAAGTATTTTCAAAACAGCTATCAATTTTTTTGGTGATTCTTAGGACAACTTTTTGTGTGCCAAATAAAGTGTTTTTCTTTTCAACACTTTTATATGACCTTCCTACTTCACAGGTTTACTTCTGTATTTTCACATGAGTACAGTTAGTTATTTAGCTAA